CGGCAGACAGAATTAAATTAAAAACTGAAGTTTAAATGTGGAAATCATGCAGAGGAAAAATGGCAGTGCTCAGAACACTTAATGATGACGTCAGTGACATGTCCACATGATTTGTTCCAGGGTTACTTAAATGGTTTAACTGATAAGGATTCTGATGAAGAATTAAATTTAAATTTAATTGAAATTAAATCTAAAATCTTGACGAGGGGGGTAAATGTTTCTCAGTTTTACTAACAGCCAACACAAAATCTTTATTATTCTGAAATGCAACAATGTTTTTCTTTTTTTTAACCCAAGATTACGGCCCTCAATATCTGATTATAAACTTTCCACTGCCACTTTAGAGAACCTTGTTATTTAAAAGAAAGCCCCCTCCATTCCTCCTCAGATTTTGTCTCTCTATTTAGCTCTAGCTGTCCTGGAACTCAGCATTTGTGTCTACTTCTCATTTCTCCTACCCAGATTAACACTAAAAAAAATTTCCACTAACAAATTTTCTCCTCTGAAGGTAATGGTCTGCTGAGGTAACCCTTTAAAGTACCCAGGCTGGGGGACTAGAAGCATGTAATACTTTACCTTCTCTGGACACATTTCTGTCTACACCCCAATTACCCCAAGCACGCTGTCAGAGGCTCTGACCTGGAGCTCTCCTCAGTCAGTAACCTATGGACAGAGTTATACCCTGTGTGTCATGCAGTCAGGACTGAACTATGACACATGGGTCATCTCCACTGCTGGGGAACTCCCTACACCCCAGAGCCAGGGCAGTGAACCGTGAAAGTGAGGAATTACAGCGTCCCGCACAGACACAGCTGGCTCAGGACAGCATCCACTCTCCCTTCTGCATCTTCTCAGAGGTCTGCAAGGATGCTGGCTCCCTTGTCACACCGCATTCGCTCCTGTTCTCCCTCAGACCAGAAGGGGAGGAACAGACCCAAGCTGGTGGGCCTTTCACCCGTGTGCACATCCATTAAAATCCTTCTTACATACCTGGGGAAATCACAGCGAACAAAACAGAGGAGACCTTTGCTCTAGACACATGCACTCTCACAGACAGAAACTATAATACTTAGCCTTTTTCCAGTCACACAAACTGGGATGGGGGAGTCACTCTGCAGTGGGGCACTAGAAGAATAACTTCTTATTCAGCTCACAGCTCTCATCTTTTGGACCAAACCACCCAAAAGTTTACTCAACTTCAGATATTCCTGCTGTTTCTGCTTCCTAAGGAAAAGAAACCTGACAGGAAAACTAAAGGAGATTTGTTTTGTGAAACTTCTGGGTCCCTTAACAGTCAAGTTTAGACCTGGAGAACTCCACAATTACAATCCAGTGTGTGAGATTGGGCATGAGTGAAAGTGTATGTGCACACATGCGAGCATGTGGGCAGAGTGTGTTCACACATGTGAGTGTGTGCATGAGTGTGTGTGTGCACATACGCACAAATGTGTGTATGAGTGAGGGTGCGTGTATGTGTGTGTGTGTAATTTTTTCGGCCAGCACCCCTTTTATGTGAACCTATGCAATAAGAGCTCAGACTTGTCTTCTATCCTTCTTGCCTATAGGAAGGCAGACCTGGAAGGAACTGTAGCTCAGGAAGCAGGGGTGAAATGTTACACAGTTCTGCGTGGTAAGAAGGATTTGGGTCGGCAGATGGAAAATGGGAGAGAGATGATCAGAAAGAGGAGAAAGGGAAGGAATCAGAGCCCACAGGCTGTGGGAGCCTGGACTTCTCCTTTGATGATGACCAAAATTAATTTGGCAGGGTAGGAGTGGCAGGACAAGGTCTCGCTATGTAGCTCTGGCTGGACTGGAACTTGATACGCAAACCAGGCTGGTCTTAAACTCTGAGAGATCAGTCTGCCCCTGCCCCCATGTGCTGGGGTTTTATAATTTTTAAAGGCAGGATTTCACTTTGCACCCATAGGTTGGCATCAAACTCATGGAAATTTCTTTGAGTCAGAGTCTCTGGAATATGGATGTGTGTCCCCATGCCCAGCTCCAAAATGCACTTCAGCCCCCAGCCACTCCACGTTGATGCCTCCGCCATCACTGCTCTATAAAGCCCGCCTCCCCTTCTAAACTAGAGCTCACACAGCGCTCACCACACACCCAAAAAGACTCTTTGCCTTTCTCTCAATGTCTATCCAACTTACACAGGTTGACATGTCAATCATCCAAGCGGTACCCCACAAGCTGGATCTTCCTTCCACTTCCCTTCCTCTCAATCTACCATCAGGCATTGTAAACTGTTCCTTCTCGAGCCTCCACCATTCCACTATCTCACTAATACTGTCGTCACAAAAGGAACAACTAATATTTATTCAGCACTTGGACTGCACCACAGACTGTGTCAAGGGCATTGCATGCGTAATTTCACTTGATCCTCAAACCTTACTAAACAGGTACTGTGACTACTTCCTTCACGTTAGGGAATCAAAACTCAGAAGGAATAGTAATTCTAAAGTCAGTTGAAAGAACCTGACCCCTCTTTGCCTCAGTCCACACCCATGTCCCAAATCAAAAAAAAAAAAAAAAAAAAGACAGGAATCACAGGGTATAGTGGCACACAGCTTTAATCCCAGCACCGGGGAGGCAGAGGCATGCACACAGATCTCTGTGAGTTCGAGACCAGTCTGGTCTACATAGTTCTAGGGAACTACACAGTGAACCCATTCTCAAGAACAAAAAACAAAAACAAACAAAAAAGAAGACCAAAACAATGATCTTCTTCATTAATTCTACCTAGTCACTCGCCTAGCAGCCCAGACCTTAGGAACACACCAGCTCCTGCACGGACTGACAACCAGCCCTGCCTAAGTTCTTACTGAGCACCGAGCTCTAGACTAAGCCATAGCCATGTTTGCTTTTATTCTTTCAAGCTTCCAAATCCTACCAGACAAAAATGCTAAAGAGCAAAGAGGCTGCCCAGGGTGTGTGTGTGTGTGTGAGACAAAACCTTTCCAAAACAAGATTACCTGCACAGGGACTACAGTAGCGCCCCTCCTCATTCTGTCTCTCACCTCTCATTTGGACCCCACCATCCTCCAGCCCACTGCAGTTATCTTTATGGAATTCAAATCTTACCACAGCATTTCCCTGCTTGAAATTAACACCTCGCTATCACTGACTGGATGAGGTCCAAATGTCTTAATGTGTTCTACACAATCTCTTCTTTTTATCATTTCATCAAATATCCACTAAGTGTCCACTGTAGAAAGTGCCATGAACCCTAAGATGAACAACAAACCAGCCCTGACCATTACTTCAACCCCAAACAAACCCCAACCCCTTTAGATCAGCCATGTACACGGCAGTTGATGTCACATTCTATAGACATAAGCATTCCTGGAGAAAGCCCATACCAATCTGAAGATTGCCTAGGATTCCTCTGACACTTTCTAGGCAGATATACTTACTTTCAAGATCCCATATCACTTAGTTCAAAATTCTCTGAGGTAGCCAGGTGGTGGTGGTGCATGCCTTTAAGCGATATCTCATGAGCTTGAGGCCAGCCTGGTCTACAAGAGCTAGTTCCAGGACAGGCTCTAAAGCTACAGAGAAACCCTGTCTTGAAAACAAAAACAAAAAAAAATCCAACTCGGAGGTGGGTGGTCCTTGGACTTCCCACAGGGCAGGGAACCCTGATTGCTCTTTGGGCTGAGGAGGGAGGAGGACTTGGTTGGGGGAGGGGGAGGGAAAGGGGAGGCGGCGGTGGGGAAGAGACAGAAATCTTTAATAAATAAATTTAAAAAAAATCCAACTAATTTCTGGCATGCTGTAAGACACTGGGTGGCTAACTGTATATCCAATGAAAGAGTTCAAACTTGAAGATCAGAGAAACAAAATACAGAATTAGAATTAAACAGTGAACTGAATTAAAAGCAATGTGATTCTAGTGTGGCTCTGACTTGGCCTACATTTGACCCCTATGGGAAAACTCACGTGGAATTTGGACAGGCTGAAATGGCAAAACCTTGTTAGTTCTGGCTCAACAACGATCGGACAGCCAAATAGGACACTAGATTCCCCCACCTTCCTTCTTTACCTGCCAAAGTCCTTTTGTCCAAAGGTGTGGGGGAGGGTGTTCAAATCTATCAAAGCAAACAGAATTGACCTACTGAGATCCAACTTCATCTGTGCTGTGTCACTGTACAGGCTAGAGAAAAAAGCAAAATGTGTCCTGGGAAGGAGGCCAATTTCTAAGTACTGTGACTACAAGAATGTGACATTCTTAAAGTGAAGGCAGTTTGGATAAACTGGAGCTCACAGATTCCTCCAACTGTCCTTGCCATTGGTTTCTGTGGTTTTTTTTTTTTTTTTTTTTTAAAGAAAATTGGCTGGGTGTGGGGACGCACGTCTTTCTGATCCCACAGCCCTCAGGAGGCAGAGGGAGGAGGATCTCTGTGAGTTTCAGGCCAGCCAGAGCTACACTGTGAGAAAAGAAAAATTGATTCGATAGAGCCATGCGGAAGTGCCCCTAGGCTTCAAGCAAACACACGATCTTAAACGTAAACGGGAATACTATACCACTCCATTTAAAAGTCCTTGTGTGAAACGTGGCAGAAAGCTTCGAAAAGCCAGCAGTGTTTCCCAAACGGTGCTTCGTGCGCAAATGCTTTCAAACCGAGATGCATATTTTGGAAATGATCCTCCCCTTCCCCCCAAACATGTCAAATCTGTCTCTAGCCTGAAAGGAAAGGTGAGAATTCTCCCGCAACAGGCTGGGGCGGGGAGAAGGATCTCCGTTCATCCCTTCCAGGGAACGAAACCAGAGGGCAGCTAGCTAGCGCTGCTCTGGCTCCCGACAACGTGCAGGCGCGAAGTGCAAGAACTCGTCCCCGAAGCTCCCGGTCTTAAACAGCGAGCGCCGCGCAGACCCGCACCGCGGCGCCCGGAGCTGGCACCCGCACCGGGCCCGGCCGGACTCCACGCGGCCCCCGGCCGGTTCCCAAGGGGGCTCCCCCTATCCCGACGCCACACCCCATCCCTGCCCGCACCTGGGGCGAAGTAACTCACTCCGGGAAAGCGGCGGGCTCCCCGGGGGAGCGCTGACGAGGACGCCGCCCGGCTCCGCTCCGCCGGGACTCGCCGCCGCCGATCTCCTGGCGAGAAGCAAAGTCCGGCCAAGACTTCACTTCTCAACCGCCCCTGCTGCCTTTCCCCTCGGGGGCGAGCGCAGGGGCCAACCCGACACGCACCTGAGCCAATCAATGGCGGGGAAAGGCGGGACTAAGGGCGGGCTCTGAACATCTTGACCAATCAAGAAGCTCGAAGGGCCGGGCCGGTTCTGCCCATCACTCCCGAGTTAGAGTGAGCGCGCTCCGCCCTCCGCCTTCGCTCCCGGCCGGATTCTCCCTTTAGACACAGAGAAGACGCTCGGGAAGTGTCTGCGTGCACCCCGGAGCGCCGCGCCGGGCGTGGGACAGCTGAAGGGAGGGGAGGGCTGCGGGAGCAGGCTGAGGGAGAACAGGTGGCGCGGGGCGGCTGACGTGTAGGTGTGCGCGAGAGGACGGCTGGGGTGGGGCGGGGAGCCCGCCCGGCCGGAGTCAGGTGGGAGCTGGGAGGACACACCTGAGGGGAAGAGAAGGGCGGATCCTTGGGATCAAAGGAAAAAGGAACCGCGGGTCAGCGTGAGCTCCGGAGGAAGGAGGGCGGTGCTCCAAACTCACACTTCTCTCCCAAAAGAAAGAGAAACGCTGCTTTTGCACCTAATGGAGCTATGCATTTGCACCCCAGGGAGAAAACTGCGCCCCGTCAACCACAGTGTGGTCAGGAAAGTCAGCTCTGCACACAAATCTCTTTTGCTTTTTCAAGGTTGCAAGGTGCCCTATGAAAGGCTCCGGAGGACTCTAGTCCGGGGAAAAGCCAACCCCGGGTTAGTCCCGACCCTGGAGCGTCTAGCAGATCAGAGGTCCAACTCCGACCTTAAATATTAGGTGTCTTGGGGCGACAGGCGAGGGACAGTGCTCTTCGCCAGCACACGGGGACAGCAGGTGCTCCGCGGCCGCCTAGCTTCCGCAGTTCCAGGTGAGCGGGCCTGCCGTGCAGGGGCGTGGCCGGGGGGCGTGTTCTGTTTTCGCTCCGCCCCCCAATCGGGCCCTGCCGCGCCGCTGCGGCTCCGCCCCCCTCCTTCCGTCACCCGCTCCTTCCGTCGGTGGTGTCTTCCTTCCTGCTTCGCCGGCATCTTTCGCGACATGGGGAAGAGCGTCCGTTTCGCCAGCACCACCTGAGGGTTTCCTGGAGCCGCCCCCCGCGCCCCGCGATGGAAGAGGATCAGGAGCTGGAGAGGTAAAGTTGGAGGGGGAAGAGTGGAGCGGGGGCGGTGGGGCGGGCCAGCGAATAGGGTAGCGAGAGGGCACGCGGCCGACTGCGGCCCGGCGGGGCGGCTAGGCCTAACCCGAGGCGCAGAGGAAGGGAGGATCGAAAGTAGAGCGGGTCCAGATTGGGAAGAGGGAGGAGAAGCTGTGGGCTTATTTATCCACAAAAGCTCAGAGGGCTACTAGCCATCCGGGAGGGGAGAGAAGTTGGAAATCCAGCTCTAAGTGCCAAACTGCCACCCCCTTTAGAACTGCCTCGTGTAAGGTCACGCACCGGGCGGTGCTGGCGTGTTAAGTCGCCTAAAGTTCCTGCAACTCCGCTTGTTCACATTGCTCGTAAATTCTCTGTTCGCCAGATTCCTCCTATTAAACTTTTCACTTCCTTTCGCTTACTAGTTTCCTTACCTGTTTTAAATGGAAGCCGTAACTGAGCCTGTCACCTTGATAACTTGTGGTTGCCATTTTTATGCTAAAATAATCGTTTTTTATGCCTGTCAACTCCCTTTTCATCTTCCAGCAGGGCCTATCATATTTATTGTAACTCTGCCTCTTTTCTTTTGCTCTATTCAAAGAAAGATTTTGCAAACATTTAACTTTGTGGGTTTTGTTTTTTGTTTTTGTTTTTTTTGAGACAGGGTTTCTCTGTGGCTTTGGAGCCTGTCCTGGAGCTAGCTCGGTAGACCAGGGTGGTCTCGAACTCACAGAGATCCGCCTGCCTCTGCCTCCCGAGTGCTGGGATTAAAGGCATGCGCTACCATTGCCCGGCACTGTGTGGGTGTTTTTGCACCTTGTGGGCAATATACATGGTCAAATGGAGTAGAGAGAAAAAGGAATTAAATATTTATGGATAGATGCTGTGGAGATAGGAAAATGAGGTAGTGAATCTTTAAAAGCTAATCACAAAATCCATATGATCTCATTCTTACAAAAAAATGTGTGTGTAGAAAAATATCAGGATTGAAGACCTCAATGGCTGAAGGCGAGAGGAAGACAGCCTTGGAAATGGTCCAGGCAGCTGGAACAGATAGACAGTGTGTGACATTTGTATTGCACGAGGAGGACCATACCCTAGGAAATTCTCTGCGGTACATGATTATGAAGAACCCGGAAGTGGAATTTTGTGGTTACACTACGACCCATCCTTCAGAGAGCAAAATTAATTTGCGAATTCAGACACGGGGTACACTTCCAGCTGTCGAGCCCTTTCAGAAAGGCCTGAATGAGCTCATGAATGTCTGCCAGCATGTGCTTGACAAGTTTGAGGCCAGCATAAAGGATTATAAAGATCAAAAGGCAAGCAGAAGTGAACCCACAGTCTAGTCCTTCATGCAAGGTTACAAGGAGGACCACCCTCATGATGGTGCAGAACCCAGAACTAGAGTGTGTGATTGCAGCCCCTTCTGTCCTGTAGAAAGGTGTGGTTCCGGCTGTTGGCCCGTTACAGCTGTTGGAATCTCTGCAAGTATATTTGCCTAATAAATTCTCTCTTTTGTTTAAACTAGCTTGAGTGGTTTTTCTTCCTTGCACATAGGTGATCCCCCAAGAATGGTGTCACCCCTTAACTGAACCAACACTGCAAGTGAACAGATAATTGGGCCAAGTTGAGGGTTTTGATCAGGGATATTAAAGGGTTATTCATTTCAATATGATTGAAGTGCTGAGGAAAGAGGAGATAGAACAGAACATAAACTGTAGTTAAAAATGCAGGAAAGAGATTGGCAGAAGGAACTTGTGTTTTGCTTTTGGTTTTTGTTTTTTTACGTTTTACTTTGTGCACAAGCATGCCGTGGCACACATGTGGGAGTCGATTCTCTCTACCATATGGGATCCATAGATTGTCAGGCGTGGCAGCAAGCATCTTTACACACTGAGCCATCTTGACAGCCCTGGATTTTTATTAATGTAAATGCATCATTTCATATGATTGGTAGACTGAGTAAGGGTGAGGATGGCTTGAAGAACACTTTAAGAATTATAATTTTTCACAAGAATTTGAATGGGTCTCAAGCTCCATCGTAGTAACATTTGTAGGATAGATACCTGTTTACTGCTTGAGCACCAATGAAATACAGAGTTATGACAAGTAAACCAGTTTTTTATTATGTTGAGTGTGGACATGTCCATGTGGATACACATGTGCATTGGAGGCTAGAGATCAGCCTTAAACATGATTCATCAGGAACCATCTACCTATTTATGCTTGGATTGTTTTGAGACAAGTCTCACTAAATAGTTCTGACTGGCTTGACTTTGTAAACTCATAGATTCCTCCTTGCCTCTGCCTTAATCTCCCCACATGCTGGTATTAAGGGCTTTTGCCATTATTCCCCACCCTGCCTTAGATTTTGAGACAGAATCTCACTGGAATGGAGTTTGTCAGTTAGGCTAGGCTACCCTACTAGAAAGTCCCAGGGACCCACCTGTGTGTCTCCTGAGCATTGGGATTACAGACCTACATAGCACCCTACTCAGTTTAGGTCTGTGGATTCTAGAGAGGTTTTCACAGCAAGTCTTTTGCCAACTGAGCTGTCTACTCTTGCCCCAATTTTAATTATTGGAAAAACTGGGATTACCAGGTAACATTACCAGTCCTTAGGTGGTTGTGCATATAGAGCTCAGGGTTACATAGAAGAGATAACTATTGATAGAAAGTCAGAACTTGGAGGAGACCTGTATGGAAGAAATGACATTTTGGAAACTTAAAATATTAGCAAAATATATCATCCAAGAATCATCCCATTTTTCTCTTCAGTCCTGTCTTGTAAGTATCCTACCCAAGTATGACTTCACCCTACATATCTGGAGCCCTTGAGCCCAGTTACCCCATTCTCTAGAGCATTGTGCTTTGGGATCTTAAGTCAAAACTTCATTGTCTGCTGGGGATGATGGTGCACACCTAATCTTAGCATTGAAGAAATTGAAGTGGGAGAACTGCAAATTGAAGACCAGACTAAATATGCATAACAAAAGCTTGCCTCAGAAAAACATCACTGATACACTTAAGATATGGAAACTTTTAGTTAAATTTGACCTCTTCTACCCTGCCAAGAGCCTATATTTCCCCGCACTTGGCCCACTTTTTTAAAAGATAGTTTTGTACTCGCTGAGTGTCTGCATTGTACCAGGCCTTGAGAGTAGATAACAATAAGAACTTTGTTTTTCAAGGCAAGGTTTCTCTGTATATCCCTGATTGTCTTAGAACTCACTCCCTAGACCAGGCTGGCCTCAAACGCAGAGATCCACCTGCTTCTGCCTCCTAAGTGCTGGGATTAAAGGTGTGTCCTATCACACCCAGTTTGACAATAGGAACTTTTAAGTCTAAATTCTCTGAAAGAAGCAAATTCAGGGTCAAGTAGGGAACTGCTTTGGGCTGAAAGAGAAGGTTGTCCAGAGCTAGAGAAAGAAGGAAGTAGCAGTGGAGCGGGGAGAGCAAATGCGTGCTTGGGGGACAATGTGAACTGGTCCTAAAGACTGCAGAATTGAAAGATTTGCATGTTTTAGTGTGTGTAGTAGGCCAGAAGGAGAAGACTCCGTTTTCTGAGTTTGGGTGGTGGGGAGCTGAAGTGATATGTTGCTTTGATTATAGTGTGGGATGATGGGGTAGATGTAGCAAAATCAGACTAGAAGCAGGTAGAATCTGGAAGAGTCAAGGTGGCCCAGAACAGTGTTAAGCTAACAATGCAGAAAAGGGTGAAGTCCTCAGGAACCGGGATGTGGAAGTCACACAAACATGACTCCATCTTCCACCTAGGACTGGGGCCAATTACTACCAGGAGCTTAAAAGAAGTCAGACGTTTTGTTGTGATTATTGTAGGCATGAGTTGAGGGCCCACGGAAGAGATC